TAATTTTGGCTTCTAGTTGGTCTAATTGTTTATTTTTAGCACTAACTTTTAGTATTTTTTCACGGGGGAGACAAGGAGAGATTTGTAATTTAGTGGGTTTGTCTACTTTATTAATAATAAGTAAATAGTTTTTTAACTTAATTTTTTGAAAAATATTTTCGTCACTGCTGTCCCAAGGTCGAGAATTATCCACTAAAAAAAAAATAATTTCGGCCTGCTCTAAGACTTGATAACTTCGGGCTACGCCAATTTTTTCCACCATATCTTGGGTTTCGTGGATACCAGCCGTGTCTAACAAAGTCAAAGGAATGCCATTTAAATTATAACGGGCCTCCACTATATCCCGAGTAGTGCCAGCCAGGGGCGAAACTATGGCTTTTTCCTCTTTTAATAGTGCGTTTAAAAGAGTAGATTTTCCCACATTCGGCTTACCTACTATGGCTATTTTTAAGCCTTCTTGATAAACACGAGCCTTTTTCCCATTTTCTTTAATTATTTTTAATTTTTCTACTAAACTATTCAAACGGGGCAAAACTTGCCTACCAGTTAAATATTCTACTCCGTCATACTCGGGATAATCGATATTTACTTTAATAGTCGCAATAATTTCTAATAATTCATTTTCAATATTTTCTAATTCTTTTTGCGTCTTGGGGCTTAAATTATGAAGGGCCAATTTGGTTCCTTCCAGACTAGGAGCCCGAATTAAATCATTTATCGCGTTAGCCTGAATTAGATTCAATTTGCCATTAAAAAACGCTTGTTTCGTAAATTCACCCTCCGTGGCTAATTCCGCCCCGTTTTCCAAAATTAATTGTAATATTTGATTAACAATAAATAAATTACCATGGCAACTGATTTCTACTACGTCCTCACCAGTGAAAGAACGCGGCTGATAAAAACAAAGTAATAATACTTCGTCAACAACTTCTTTTTGTGAGTTAATAATTTTGCCAAAAATTAATTGTGGTTTTTTTTGGGGATATTCCGGTAAAGAACGGTCGAAAATTTGGCTAATAATTGGATAAGTTCGGAGTCCAGATAAACGAATTAAAGCAATGTTTTGGGTAATAGGAGCCGTAACGAGAGAAGTAATAGTTTTTTTAACCAACATAAATTATTTTTTTGTTATGTTACCAGCCTGCTGCTTACTGAGAAAATCAAAATAAACAATTACTTTTTTTAACCAACATAAATTAGCAAGTAAACATTGACTATTGACCCTAACAGAGTCCGTAAGCACTATATTCTTATACCAAATCAAACCGAGAGATGAGAAACTAAGAAAAAATTTTAAAGCAATGTGATTTTCACGAATTCCTTAGTAGCATTAAATTTACTACTCATTTGTTATTTAGATAATGATCTTGCGTTCATCACGCTACTTAAGCATGTAAGAAATTGGGATTAACCACAATCGAGCAGTTAGCAGTTAAAGTTTAATATTTAACCCCTTATTCCCCCTAAACTGAACTCGGTTAAAAAGTTCTTTAGAGTTACAAAAAGTTAGGTAATTATATACGAGTTTAAAATACTTAAAAAAAATTATTTCCCTCTTTCACTTCTTTTTCGGGGTGGTGTATTTAACTTATCAAATTCCTCTTGACTTACTGGTCTGACATTATTACTTTGTTCCTTGTAAGAGCTTTTATTTAACCTTCTTTGTCGCATGATAACTAATATTTCTTTCTTCTATATATACATTTCACTAATCTTTATTATATTAAGAGAATATCTTTTTCTAAAAATAATATATAAAGAGCCCAAATCGCGCAATTGGTAGACGCAGTGGATTCAAGACCCACCAAGTGTCGGTTCGAGTCCGACTTTGGGCACCAATAGTAAATTATGTGTTTGTTCCTCGAATAATTTTGACTAAAGTTTTTTATTTGTCTAACCCAAAATAATTAGTTAAATATTCGGCTACCCCCCCGCTATGGCTATCAAATTCGGTAATATCGTGAACGTAGGCTTTTAAATTATTAACACTATTGGATACCGCTACTCCGATCCCCACTTTATTCATCATTTCCATATCATTAATATCATTACCAAAAGCAATGGTTCGCAGTAAAGGAGTATTATAATAACCTGCCACTAATTTGGCTGCTTCCCCTTTGTTAGCATTGTAATTACGGATTTTAATTATTAATTTCTCGCGGTCCAGAACCAAAATCTTTTCTCCCTCTTGTTCAGCTTTTAATTTTTCACCACAATAGAAAGTAATGCTAGATTTGAATTTTTTTCTTAGCGTAGAAATAATTTGGTTAATTTTTCTTTCTTCATTGGGAAATTCCAGAACTAATTGTAAACAATCTTTCTCACCTAAATGTTGTAAAACATCACCTTTAATATAAGGATTATTATTGAAAAAGATTTCTTGATAATAAACATCGTCGCTAGTCGAAATGCTTTGCCTATCTATAGAGTCAACCATAAAGTTAAGCAAATTGTCTTTAACTATTTTTTCTGCCAATATATCTCTAACAACGGAATTAGCAATGGGAATGGTTACGGTTGGGCTATCTTTTTTTAAAGGGTGATTAATATAAGCACCGTTATAAGTAATTAAAAAGGTATCTAAGCCTATCTCTTGATAAAATGGCAAGGCGGAAAAGTAGTTCCGTCCAGTAGCGATACAGATTTTATGCCCTCTTTTTTTTAATTCTTGGAGAACTTTTTTGTTTTTCTGGTTGAGAGTGGAAAAATCTCTATTCAGCAATGTTCCGTCTAAATCAACAATAATTAAATGACTTTCTTTGTTTTCGGTTATTTCTCTATTCATATAATATTTTATGTTTCTGATATGAGTTCCTATATGAGATGCAAAAATAAATAATATATGAGTCAAGTATTTACTGGAACCGTAATTAGTTTAAAAAATGCGAAAACAGTAACTGTAGAATTAGTTTTTACTAAATTACATCCCAAATATCACAAACCGCTGAAAAGAAAAAAAAAAATCCAGGCTCATAACGAGGAATATGATTTACAATTAGGTGATAAAGTAGTAATCAAAAGTAGCCGCCCCTATTCGGCTACCAAAAGATTTTTAGTAATCAAAAAGCAGTAAAATATTTAAGTAATCTAGCATGAGTATTATTGAAACTAGGAATGGAGATATACCCAAGTGGTTGAAGGGGACAGTTTCGAAAACTGTTAGGCACCTAATCGGTGCGCGGGGGTTCAAATCCCTCTATCTCCGCCAAAAAGTTAAAATATAAATTTATGTTAATTGTATTCATTGGTATTCCTGGTTCCGGAAAATCGAGCACGGTCAAGGAGTTAGCGAATTTGTTAAAGGTCAAGCATTTCGCGGAACCAGAAGAGGAAAAATGAGCCGACGCGGCTAAGGATTGGAAAACTTATGGTAGTTTTTCCATGCTGATGTGGTTTCGTTCCATGCGGGTTCCCATGTTAGTAGAAGCCCAAAAATTAAGTGAAGAAGGAAAGACAGTTTTTATCGATACTTATTATGATAAATTATTGTATTATTACATTGATAAATATTGTATGCGCTGGCTAATTTCGCCTTCAGACCGTTATTTTACCGTTATGAAACAAATTGCTGAAATTGATAAGGATGTTCTACCCGACGCTGACATCGCAGTTTTTTTTGAAATTAATTATGATGATTGGTTAGAACTTTTAAAAGCCAGAAGTCGCCCCGCTGACCACGATAAAGATTTTATGAAAAATTTTGAAACGCAAAAATTTCTGCTGGAAGCGACCCAAAAATTATGTCAAGAAAAAGGGATAGAATTAATCATCTTCCCGCAAGATAACTCTTCGGCGCAAGGTGCCTCTCTAAAACTAAAAGGACTTTTGAAAGATAAAATTAGTGAAAAGAGTTAAAAGCTAATTATGCTACGTTATCACAATAGCGAAGAAACGAGGAGAAGTGTTATTATTTGCTGTAATTTTTTCCATAATAATTTTGCTAGGAGGAATTATTTGGGAACTTTAACAACAAAAGGGGACAAAGAGAAAATACACAACGCTAGAAACCATTTGCTTAATGGTATGTTGGAGTTTTCAAATATAGTCTTGGTTTTCGCATAATTTAGTATAAAACTTTATATAATTGCCAAAAAATGTTCAAAGATAAAATTCTCAACAAAGCATTAGACGCAACCGCGACTCGGATAGCCGCAATAAATCAGCGGAGGGAGGAAATAAAAGAAAAATTGACTCGCCCCGGAGAAGTAATTAATGATATTACTTACGAACTTTGTCTTAAAGCCATGTTAAAAGAAGAAGAAGAAGAAGAAGAAGAAGAAGAAGAAGAAGAAGAAGAAGAAGAAGAAGAAGACAAAATTCTCCTTAAAGCTGCTTTTAATTTAGAAAAAGCTCTCCAAAATAATTTTGACCTTACGCCCTCCAGCGACTCCACAATCCAGAAAATTAACTTACGCTGAGTAGCCACCAAAACTGTTAATGGTATGAAATATGAAGAATTTCAGGTAATTAGCGGTCGTGCTGAAAAAAATTTACTTTTCTTTTCTACTTTTTTTAGTGATGGTGAAAAAAAAGAAGTTCGCGGCGGAGGAGGCTTCCAACTTACCTTCTCAGGAGAAATTGTCAGTTGTGAAGTAAAATCAGATAGTGATAACAGCCAAAAAATAGAAATTATTCAAAGCGTTACTAGACCTTATATTTATGAATGAAAAAAAGTTTTCACAACTGAGGAACAATCCCGCGAATTCACTAATTTTATGGCTAAATTTGGCGAAAATGGTTCCACACCCCATGAATTAGTCGCTCATAACGACGATTTAAAAGAATTATTTAAGGAATGAACCGCGTTAGAAAATGAGTTAAGAGTTTTGACAAAAGAGGCTGATAGCGGTGAAGTTATTAAATTTTATCATCAATACCAACCTTATTATGAGTTTACCAATTTTGCTCCCAATCTTCCTATTAATGATTTTCCTAGTGTAGCGGGCTACGAAAATCTGGCGGGTCGGTGAGAAACTAGCGAACAACTATTTCAGGCTTTTGGATTTGTTAATGATAGGGAAAAAGTAGAAGAGTTTAGGAAATTAAAAAGTGCTAGCGAAGCGTTTGAATTAAAAAAGCGATGCGGACAAACTGTTAAAGGTTGACACGGAGATTGACAGAATAAAGGAGAAAAATCCAAAAAACTATTTGCTATGTTCTGAACAGTAGAGCAGAAAGTCCGCCAAAATCCAACTCTGGCAAAAACTTTATTAACCACTAATTACCGGATAATAATTGAGGATACCCAAAGCGATACCAAATGGCTGGATGGCACGGACAAACCGGAAAAACTTCGTGATGATTGTTGGGGTAATGCTCCTTTGCATCGCCGGAATAAGCAAGGTAAAAAAACCGAAAAAATCCGCGAGCAGGGAAAAAATTGATTAGGTCGTATCTGAATGGTTCAGCGTTCCCTTTTACGCTGAGAAGCCGAATTAGCAACCTTTGATAGAGATAGTTTAACCTTACTTGGTCATCCTTATTTGGAAACGAGAAAAGCAGAGTTAATCCAAGCAATATTTGCCATCACTGAGGAATACTGACAAGAAGAAACTAATCCCGGAATTATTAGTGAGGAAATTAAGCAGTTAGAAGCCGAAATTCAAGCAAAAGTGGTAGCAGAATTAAAGGAAAAGTTAAGCAAAACTAAAATAATGTCGAAAAGAGTAGAAAAATACGAAAATTTAATTAAATCTCTGCGAGATGGAAGTAAAAGTAAAAAGGAAATAGCAGGGGAATATTTAGCCCTAGTCAAAGAAATTCTGAACTTTTATAATCTTATTTCTAATAGTTGAAAAAATCCCAACCGAGCCACCGAAGGGGGAAAAATACTAGAATTGATTTCTGAAAATACTTCATTATCAAGCAGCGAATATAAATTAAGCGGAGAGTTGGTCGAAATTCACGAAGAATTTAATGGTGCGGCAGAAGATTTTTCGATTGGAGAAGAAGCGAAACTCAAAGCAATTTTTGCGGCTCGCAAAAGTGAAGAAAAGAGCAAAAAAACCCCAACAAGTGAGGGAAGTGGCGTGCGAACAGAAACTGGCGATATTGCTAATTATCTTGAACCACTGGAAGAAATTATTACCAACTGGAAAAACCAAGTAGCAACGATAATTGCCGAAGCCAATTTAACCAATGAAGAGGGAGAACCAACAAAAGCTCAGGAAGAATTTGAATTAATTCTCCAAGAATTTTTACTCAGCAAAGTAAAGTTATTAAAAGAAATTGATTTGGAAAACCCCAGTTTAGTAATGGCAAGTTTGGGGGAAATTATCAGAACTAATTTTTCGGTGGAACCAGAGTCTAAAACCTATCCCTATTCGTATATTATCACGAAAAAACTATTCGAGGCTAAGTTAAAAGGTATCGAGCAAGTGCTGAGCCTGCCTAAGAGCTCTCATGGTAAGGCTAATAATTTAAGAAAAAATACCAAAATTGCCACCGAGCCAGCCAAAGAATTGTTGGCTAGATATTCCTTGAAATTGGTTAATCCGGAGTCAGAGTTAACCCAAAGAATTCTCAGTAAAGTTCTCGTGCGGAGATTATTAGAAGGGACAGAGGGAATCTTGAATGAACCCCAGCAGACCGTCGAAAGCTGGGAACAAAAATTACTGAATTCGCAACGGGTAGCACTAACAAAATTAGAAGAATTAGAAAAGAAAGAGATTAATTTAGGTGGGAGAAATTTAGACTTTGTGGCTATCACTCAGTACTGAATTACTAAAACCACCCAGGCTTTTTTAGGCCAGCACGCTTCTTTCACTAATTTAGTAAGCGGGGAGGAATTAACAACTACTGCCGAAAAAATAAATAATTTTTTCTGTTCGCACTTTATTCCAGACGAAAGTGTCCGAGCCAAATGAGAGGAAGAAGCAACGAAGAGAGTAAATTTTTTCCGGGAAAATCTGCCCCAACTCTGACGAATTGTCGCCTTTCGCTTCCCAGTCAGCAACTTAGTTCTCAAATGAAAGGTGGAAAATGGTGATCAGGTAAAAGAAAGTGAAATTACCGAAAATTTTTTCCTAGAAAACCGCGATAAAGTATTATTAGAAAAAATTAACTACCAAGAATTTATTTTTCAACCAGCCTTGGTCGAGCAAAAAGGGGAAGAAGAAACACTTGTTAGACCAGCGATTAGTTTGGCGTGATGAAAAGACGGGGAAATTGATTTAGTTAGTGAGAAAAAACTGGCGATTGAACTGATAAATAAAAAGTGATACGATTCCGATTTACTAAACAAACTTAACATTTATGATTTGTTAGAAGAAAATTGAAAAGAAGTTCTAGAAGGAAAAGAAAATTCAGAAAAAGTGGCAGCCGAAGAACTTCGCTTGTTGGATTTGCTGCGGGCGAAAGAGACCGAACTAGATTCAGCCACTCCTTTACTCACGTCCGAAATTATTCGCGAGCGACAAGAAACTGGGGAAAAAATCAAGCTTTCCCAGCAAGTTAGACCATTAGCCAAGTCGATTCAGACTATTCAACCCACCCATTGAGACAAAATTAGCATTAAAAATGATTGGCGAGCGTGAAAATTTGATATAGCTGGCAATAGGGAACTAAATGAGTATAGTTTGGGTTATAAAGTAATAGTTAGTGGAAAACTAGTAGTGGCAAGAGAAGAAGAAGGTCGATTTAAAAAAATTATTTCGCCAGCAATGCGGGAAAAATTAAATAGTTTTTTGCCCGAAGATAAAAAAGTAGGTCTTGATTTAGGGGAAATTAGCAATAAGGAGAGAAATAATGCTATTGTTAATGGTGAGTGAGATAATGTAATTAATCTTCTCAAAGATAATATTCTCAATGAAAAAGGTTGACCGCAAAGTAAAGAGGCTTTGGAATTTCTTCAAGAAATTATCAATAGTGAGGAAGCAAAAACCGCAAGAGTAAGTGTTGTTTATCAAGAAGGTAGCGAATATGAGGCAGAGGAATTTGCTAGTATTAGTGTGGGAGAATTAGAACTGGCAAAGATTAGAATAGATGGTGGAGGAACCAAGAAAAGCGAGGAAGGGACAGTAATATTAGAAGAACCATCTAGTTTAGTGATAGGGGGAGATTTATTTGACGAAACTGACCATACTAGTGATGAGAAGGCTGAGGAAAAAACCTTAGCCGAATTGCTAACCGAGGAAAAAAACCTAGCCAACTACGGTATTCCAGAATTAGATAATTTATTCCAAGCGTGGAAAGTTTATATTCAACCACAGTTCAGCAGCAGTGAAGAAGCGAAAGAGGCTGAAAAAATATCCGCGGAAATAAAAGATTGGTTGGAAATATTTATCGAACGATTAATTACAATAACGCAGCCGGATAATTTAAAGTCTGAGTCAATGAAAAGAGCCAGCCAATTAATTGAAGAATTTCTTTATCCCGTTTCGCACACAGAGAAATATAAATATCAAGACCAACTAATTGAGATTGTCGGAGAACTTTATATCGATAACAATAAAACGAATATATTTCATAGTTTCATGATGAATAGAATGGATTTTCCCCACAACCGCACTAATAAACTTAAATTTAATTTAGCCAATTGCTACCAACAAATAATTGCCACGGCTCGCGACGAGGATTTAGCCAAATTCCTCAGTTGAGAAAAGGAGGAGCCAAAAAATTCTGCGGTGGGTTCAATAAATGCTCAAATCCGCCAAACAGTGGTGGCTAACAGTGAAAGAATGAGAGCTTGAAAAACCAAAATTGCTGCTGCCGAAGAAGCCAGAAAGAAAATTGTCTTGGCAGAAGAACCCCCTCAAAAAAAGATTCGAACTGAGGATAAAAGCAAAGTCGGCTCCGAACTGGGAGTGAAAAAAACTCCCACTGGTGATTTCTTGTCTTTCATTTTACTGCGGGCAATAAGAATACGAAAAAACATTCTTAACAAAAAATCGGTGGAAAACGAAGAAAAATTATTATTAGAAGTATTAGGTTTAGAATCCAACCAACCCAAGAAAATTTCTTACCTGCTTTTCGAGCCCGAGGCACTGGTAAAACTGGGCGGAGATAATTTGCTAGCCCAAGTAGTAATAGATACCGCAGAACCGGGAATTTTTTCCGCGTTCAATTGAGGAAAAAAAATTACTCTCCCCCTTGCCAATTGAAATCAAGTAGAACTTTTAAATGAAATAGGTTTTAAGCGGGGGGAAATGGACGATTATAGCAATAAAGAAAAAGATAAATGATCGATTTCACTTCCGAGAGGACAATCCGCTTGACAAATAACTGCTGAGGATTTAACTACCGAGCCAACTGTCAATGAGGAAGAAGAAATTAACCCGTGAATTGCTGCCAAACAGGAATTAACTGACCTCCAAGCCGAAATTACTAGTAAAAAATTAGGGGTTGCTCCCACTCATTTAGATGAATTTGAAAATCTCTGGTTAATTAACCACTATATTAAGCTTTGCCAAGATTTTAAAAACGGGTCAGAGGAAAAAAAATGAGCTTGACAAAACTGGCGATTTGATTGACGTAATTCCTCCGAACTATTTCTAAGTGATTTGAAAAAATGAAAGGAAGAAATTACTAAAAAAGACCGACCGGTAGAGGAAGTTGAGGACGAAGAAACAGACAATCATTATACAGACAGCGAAAGGGAGGAGGAAAGCGAACCTGATGATGCTCTACCAAAACTTAATGACTGATTAAACGACAATCATATCGAACATTATTATAAAGAAATCATTGGTGAGAATGACGATATTTGTTTAGCCACCCCCAGTGAAGTGAGAGCTTTTATTGGCAACGGTGAAAGAATTCCCGCGCACTGAGCCAATAAAAAACTGGTTTTCTGTCCGGTGAATGATGCTGCCGTGAGTATGACCAGCGGAGCTGGAACTCACTGAACTTTGCTGGTGTGGGAACCCGCAGTCCAGAAATGTTATCATTGAAATTCTTTGGGCGAGGCTGTGCCTGAACAAGCCACTATTTTATCAGATAAAATTAAAAAATTTAGCGGAGCCATGGAAAAATCTAACTTTTTAACTGTGAAGCAATCGGCTCAGCAAACTAACAGTTCAGACTGCGGAGTTTTTGTGCTGGCGAATACGGAAAAATTAGTAGGTTTAGCAAGAGAATATCGAGCTGACCCGAATGATTTTTTTACCCTAACCGACCACGAAAGGGCAGTAATTACTAAGAAAATAACGAAAATTCGGCAAAAATTATATTCTGAAAGCAAAAGAAGTCCCGAACTAACTAAATTTTTAAAAGCTGATACTGGTCAGGGTCAGGATTATAGAGAAGCGGGCGAGGATATTTTTCTGCCGAAGACAGTAATAAGAATGTTAAAAACTGACCAAACAACTTGAAAAGTTCCCTACGGCCCTCAGCTATCCTATCTGCAACAATCACTTAATCCTGAATTTCGGCAAATGATAATCCTCATCAGTGATAATAATTTAACAAAATTAGGAATAACCAATGCCGCTGAGGCAGCCGAATTAGCCGAAGGAATAAGTTTTTTAATCGAAAGCGACCAGTCAACTCGCCAATTATTTAAAGACCAAGGCGGGTTAGAATTATGAAAAAAAGTGGTCGGAATGGTCGAGATTTTAAATAGTTTGGGTTATCATTTGACCCGAAGAATTGACCCGACTGCCAAAAAGTGAGGGGAGAAAGTTAAATTTAATGAACCCTACCAAGAATTAACGGCAGAAGACCAAGCCTATATTAATGATTGTTTAGGAGTTGAAACAGTTAAAAAATTTAAGGAAAATTTTTTGCTTCTTATTGATACTTTAAAATCCCCTTTAAAACAGCAAAAAGTAGTTTTCGGGAAATTTGATGCTATTGATTTGTCTTCTCCGTCCGCGGAGCCAATGAAAATACCTCCTAGCCCCACTCTGGATGAAGTTTCCGAGACCCCCGACCTCTTAACTACTATTGCCAAAAAACTAACAACTTATAATATTTCCGAGGCCGAATTTGATGCTTTTTTCTTTAATAGATATTTTGAGCGCCAAAAAGGAAAAAGTTGAAAAGATTTTTGCGAGGAAGTCGATGAACGCGGCAATCGCTGAGTTTTAGTTGCCTTAGGTGAAAAGATTACCGAAAAAATTCTGGAAGATGACAACTTATTCACTAGGGAAGCGCTGACCAAAATTAATGAATTTAGAAATAACCCTACTACTAGCGAAGCCGAAAAAAATGGTATGAAAGCGTTCGAACGAGGAATCTGGAAATTAGAATTTTTTTACATGGCTCAAGAAGTAGTAGAAAAAAAAGTTGACCAGGAACCAAGTTTTAAGACTGATTGAATTGCGAAATTTAAAGGTGCGGAACCACCAGTGAGAAAAGCTTGAACCAAGGATTTGAACGATTTAAGTGATGACGAAATTTTTGCTTATTGTCATCATCTTGACTTGCCCCCCGAAATCGGTCGCCAGATTGCCGAAAATGGTTGACAAGCCAGTGATGAGTTTTTTTGAAAAGATGGGCAAGCCCTGCTTTTAGGCAAAGATTTTGATTATTGAGAAGAAGAGATTAATGTTACTAGCCAAAAACAAGAGGAAATAGAGTTTTTAAGGGATGTTTGAAATACTATAATAGAAGAAAGAGAGGATGATGGTAGTAGTGAAGCAGAAATCCTAGGTCAAGAAAAAGAAATTATTAAGTGGCAAGAAGCTGGCTTTTACCCCTACCAAGTTAAAATTTTGCTGGAAAATGGCTGAGGACCGGACGAAGTGGTAATGACAGACCGAGAGAAGGCAAAAGAAATACTTGCTGAATTGGAAAAAATGGAAGAAGAGAAGTTGGAACAGGAAAGTGAAGAAGCAGTCAACAAATTTTTAGAATTAGCAAGTTTAATTAAATTTGCGGATGGACGACCCGAAAATCCGCTCGCTACCGTTAAGGAAAAAGACCTTACTCCCTATTTAAATGCCGACCAACTAACAAAATTAAATGAACTGCGAGAAAAAATCAATGGTGAACTCCACCAAATATCAGCAGTTAATGATTTTGATTCCGCTAGCGAAACTCTATTTTGCCAATTAGTTCAGACCACGGAGCAAGCCGAAAAATTTCTTAACCCACACGAACTATTGAAAGATTATCAGACCGATGAGGAAATAGTAAAAGAGCAGCAAGCTATCACTACTATTGAGCAAGAACTAAAAAGAATAAGCTGGCTTGTGAGGGGAAAAATAAACGAGCGCACCGATTTACTTGTTTCCGCCTGAGATTATTTTACTAAAAAAGCAAGGTGAGAAGGCAATTTAGAAGAAGAAAAAGCTAACCTCCACGATATTGTAACTTTACTAGCCGCCCATAATTTAGTAAAAAAGTTAGAAGGACTGGCCGCTAGTTTCAAAAGCACCGATAATTTTGATGCTAACACTGTAAAATTATTGGAAGAGATAGACAAAGGCAAAAGAGAGCTTGAGTTTTTAGCTTATGAAGAAAGAGAAATGATAACAGCTCCGCTATACGACGAAGAATGACAAACAGCCGAAGACAATTTACTACCCAAAGCTAAAAAATATTACCAGGAAAAAATTACCGAGTTAGGAAAAAGCGATGCGGAAATTAATGCGGCTTGATTTGGAGAAGAAAGCGGGAATTGGAAAGAAGTTTTTTCAGAAGGTTTTATACTTTTTTCAGACTTGATAGAAAAGGGGGAAAAAACTCTCCATTGCTTATCCGCAGAAAAAAAAATAACTTTCTCAGCGGCTAAGGTGGAATTTTTTGCCGAGGGGAACATGCGGCGAATTGAATTTACGCTCCAACCGAAAACTGGCCGAGCCGAGGCATGGTCGAGTTTAATGGCGGACGTGGAAAAAATAACCATAATTTATGATTTTGATTTGCTAGGAGCGGCCGAAAAATATGCGGCCGATATCGCCCAATTGGCGAGGGTCAAAAACGAAAAAGAAACCCGTGAAAAGACTATTATTAGTTTGGATATAGTTAAGGGTTGAGAAGAGTGAATGACGACCGAGGTCAAAGAAATCAATCTCGATTATAATACAGTCTTAATTACTCTGAGTGAAAAAGTTGTTAGCGAACTAGAGTTAGCCAAAATTGCGGCGATAAAAGAAATTGAAGAGACAGCAGTTAGTAATGGTTTTAATTTAAGGCCATGACGGGAAAAGTATTTAGGACAAATTAGAACTCAGGAGAATTTAGAGGACTTAAAATATGAAACAAAATGTCTTATAGATACGATTACGGCCAGCAAAAGTGGGGCTACTCCACCGACCGAGGGAGCTGGTAGTAGTAATAGCGAGCCAATTATAATTCCTGATACGGATACTCAAGTTTCCCACTTTTGCCAAATTCAGACGACCGCTTCCCATGCTGAGAAAAAAGTTATAAGCAGAAAAAATTACTTAGTTTTTGACTTAGAAAATCCTATCCAGCAAGGAGACGAAAAAATTAATCATTTATTGGTGGCGGAAAGTCTGAAAGAGGAATTTGGTAAATATGCCAGAAATAGAGGATTAATAAAATTAACTGCTCCTTGGCAAGTAGAAAAGATAAGCCTGAGTAGAAAAGAATTAAATTGTTGATTAATTAAGGAAAATTTTGCTGTAAAAAATTTAAAGCCGGTAGAATTAACTAATTGCCAATTTAC